TACTTGGGTTAATTATTAATGTATTGTTATTAACATTCAAACAGGCGAGACGCAAGGAAATCTAATAAACTGGACTGATAAACCAAACAGAGATAGAACAATCGTCACTACTCTACTACGTCGCTAGTAAATAGCCATGGTCATTGTGCTCGTCAAAACTTGTTCTACGTAATATGTACAACCAATCACCCATGTCGTGTCGATTCGGATCTTTCATCCTACGACATATGATTGAGTGACCAGAGGAATAAAAATGCATTCGACTTACGATTAGATGGGAGAAGCGTTGTCACCGGTGTTGTCGTAGTTCAATGAATGTCACCGTGAAACAGGAATCGTACAACTCATCGAACAGGAATCGTCGAATCCTATGGAAAAATTAAAGGCTGAATGAGATCTGTAAAAAAATGTGAAATGTTATAATTTATTCTTAAAGACGATGATAATCGTTTAAAAAGTATATGAAAGTATATGAAAGTATATGAAAAATTGAAAAATTGAAAAATTTTAATCATTATACTTGATTAATGATTAAAAGAACGAAAAGCCTGAACTTGTGAAATTTCCAATCAGATTTTACTCTTTTCATTGATTAATTATAGCATATAATATAAATAATTGAATTAAGTAAGGAACAGAATTAAATGAACATTACTGACATTCTTGGCTTTTCAAACACCTTTCCAGGAAATGGAAAGAAGAAGAAGGAGTGGAAAATCTTCAAACAATTACTACGATTACTACGATTTTAAAGGACATGGTAATTGTTACAAAAATTGGAAGTCTACTACAAAATTTTAGAGTCAGACTTTATTTTTTAATTCATTATAATTAAAGGAAAAATTCTACTAATTTGAAAAAATTATAATTTTAATTATTCGTTATTAGAGTTTTAAATATCCTTCGTATCAATCAAACATGGCGGGCTTTTATATCAGTTAAAGGAAGCTGCGCAGTACGCAAGAAACGCGATGCGCAAAACGCGTTTAAACTCAACGTTCCTTTCCGAAAATTATTTGTTTTATTTGTTAAAATAAATCAAATGTTACCATATATTATATACACAAGAAGACATCAAAATTATTATTATTAATCATCCTTCTAGTAGTCTTCTTCCGAAATTCATGATATCAGAATTTCTTTCATAACCAATCGATATTCTGCACAAAAGAAAACAAAAACTTTTGGCTATGTAGGTATGTAAAATGTGAAAGAAAAGAATTGTTGAACAACATACAACATAGAAATAAAACAACGGTCAAATAGTCATGGTTAAACATGGTACATTTTGATAGCTCGTAATACGAGCTATCGGTGCATATGACGACCAAACGATGTTTAATTGCAAATTATGATAATATTCGATAAATTATTGCGTAATAACTTACGTTAATTGGACGAAATTAAACATTGCGAAGGTATAAAGGCGCTAAAAAGACGAAAAGATGAAAGTGTTGCGCAGTTAATAAGTGTCACGAGACAGAGGGATACATCTCAATACCACGATTTTAGACAATAGACTAACCCCCGCGCAACAGGTTCGCGTCGCCGACTAATTTAGGGTGGGGAGGCTCGAACAAGACTCGGCCGATTTCGCGGAAAACTTTGACAATATTTTCGATACATATTATGCAATGTATACATTTATACCTGATTCGAACATCCTTTTGTAGTACCCTTTGTGAATATAGTATGTGTATTACACGAAACATTTTGCATTTTTAATATCACTATACTATACTCGATTATTATGAATATAGTAATAATTATTTGAATGCTACAACACACTACATTTAGTAGTAACAATAGTAGTAGTAATGAATTATACTTTATTACTCAACATTGACGATAAGTAAAATCATCTTTAGCACTCGTTACATATTATAAAATTATTCGTGTTATAACTTGTGTATATACATACTTTCAGATTGATTTCAATATTGATCAATATATTCACGATAATCGTATTTTCGTACAACGTTAACGCAAAATATTTTGTATGATAAATCATACATAGTGAACATAGGAAATTATTGTTATTAAGTTTTCGAATACTTTCGTGAGCTATTGTATGTGCAAATACTCACATATGTATATTTGTTTCTAACCTATATATGTCATGATTGGACTGCATATCCAAAATCACGTAGGTAATAACTCGTTTAAGGAATGCTCATTATTGTAAATCGTAGACGTGTTCAACACTACAAACACAAATTTCGAAGCTATCGATTGCAGTTTTTGCCTAACAATTACTGTACGAAAGTTTTCTTGCTAATGCACTTCTTCCTGATACGCGTACATTATATTCTAATATCATAGATCGATCAATTACCGGTCGAGAATTACAATTGTATTGTATCACATTTTTCACTGCTTCATTGTTTTCAATATTTCGATATACATGTTATTTAACTTGGAGCAAAAAATGAAAAATTTTATACTGTATGATTCTTCTTGCTTATCAAATAAGATAATTAAGTTAGCAAAATATCTATAATTTTAATTTTTTAATTCAAGTCAAATAATGTAATATTTTAATTTTTAATCTTTAAATAGTTAATTTTTAATTTTCACTAGACTAATTCAGATCGCATACGTACAAATTTCAAAATTAATCCTTTCTATCACGTTCACGAACAAATTTATTAATTCAAACTTCGAATGTAATTTATGAAAAATTAAATATTACTTGAAAGAAATTTTCGATCTATTGGGCAAAATGTGGAAATCTTTATTGATGCATTTTGTAAGTCAACTAAAATACAGAGGGAAAGTTGAAATGCCCAAGCGGGAAATGTAATTTTAAAAATTAATTTTATAAAATAATCTCCTTAATTAACAGTTTCTGACAATTAGTGTAAAGTGTTTCAGTTTTGGACATGGTGGCGTCATCTGTCGATAAATGAGTAATACCAATTAATTTTAAAATTATTCATTTCTGCATTTTACGAATCAAATGGGATATCAAAAGAAAGCCGAAGATCTAATTAAGAAGATGCAATTACAAAGATTTACAAATTAATCTCTTAAATTAGCTTTTTTTACAACTGAAAATCGATTTATCTTGTGAGCATGTAGCGACCGTTACCTCCGCAGAATTGAGTTCAGCGCCATCTACGTTCGAACAATCGTTCTTCCGAAAGATTCGTTTCCGATAAACCAGCAGCGCCAATTTTATTAAACTCTTAAACAATAGAAAATTTAAAAATTGTTAGTCCATTAACCGTTACTATAAAGATTTTTTACAAATGTATATATTTTTTGTATGTATTTTTTACAAATATATATATATACATAGTAACCATCAAAGAAATTATTCTTCATTCGTTATTTGTTATTCGTTACTCGGTATTAGTTATTAAATATTTATAGAGAGGATTTTCGTTAATATATATTTTGATATATTAATAATATTTAATAATATAAGTGATTAAGATTAAATACGGAGTTATTATTTCAATTTGTGGTACGGTGATTGAGTTAAAGTGTCATCATGATACCTACAAGCACCGAAATACTAGCGCCACGTAGCGGTAGAACAATGGAACTAATTGGCTCGTTTCAATATCACAAAATACATACGTATATGTAATTGATTTTACATTTTCACGTGTATTGATTTTATTTTCATCAATTTTATAGTTACTTGTATAACAAGTAAAACGATTATCGTTAATTTTATCAATAATCAATTATGCGTTTTTGTACATTCGATGAAACATTGAAGAGATATGTACAAATATTTGAAAACAAGACACAGTGGAGATTCAGAGATGAGACAATCGATTAATTAATATGAAAAACGTCGTATATAATATTTATACACTTGCGAAGAATTTCCTAAGCAATTTCTTATGTAAGTAAATTATTAATTTTTGGGGAACAATCTCTGTAGATCTTTTCAAAATCCGTACATTTGATTAAGATTTCATTTGATCATTCAAATTTGAAAAAACATCATCTATCATTAAAAGTTCAAAAGATTTCTCAATCTTTATTTCGTACTAATACTTTACTATTCAATCGTAGTTTTAAAAAGCCGGAACGGCTGCAAAATTTTTAGAAAAAAAACTTTTATATTTTTATGCGCTTAGAAATTCCACGATTATTTAACGACGATATTTAAAGACTTTCAAAACCTAATTTCCTTGTAAAAAAGAAAAATGAAGTATTCTTAGATGCATTAGATACTAGTTCATTTTGAAAGACTGGACTGGATAAAGAGGCATTAAAGTGCGAATTCTCTGTACAGAGATCTCCGAATTCCAATATTATTCACGCTTAATTTAATTTATTGAGAGCCACAAAATTCTGCTTGATAATTCAAGCTACAATAGCGTAACAATTAACCGCTAAATGGAATATCTCAGTACTCCATAATTTCCTATCATTTATACCATTGTACATTAAATTTCTGTAAAACGCATGCACTATTATCGACTCCTAACCTTCGTAATAATTGATCCTAAGGTCGAGTAATCGTTAATAACTTGAATCGAGTGTTAGACATTTAACAGCATCATCAAGTTGTTAAAAAGGAAACAAAGAAAAAAGCATGCTCTAAGAACATTATAATTTTATTTATTTGTACATATTTGTACTAATATTTATAAAGAATGTTACACAACTAATAATACATAAAAATTAAATATGAATTATAATACGATATCATGTTTATTACATAGAAAGGATACAATGTATTATTGATTTCAAAAGTTTAGAAAAACAGTAATAAATGTTTTTTATTTTAAATTTTATTTGAATTTGGTGCAGTATTTTGAAATAATTAAACCAAATTCAGAGTTACTAAAACTTTTTCCTTAATTTTAGTACTAAGAAAATTTATTTTTTACGAAGTGTCATTTGTGTTAAATGCATAAAAAAAATATCATTATCAGAAAAATGGACAAGATACATTTAGTGAACTATGATTCATAAAAGTGCGAGAATTATAAGATGCACAAACATGGTAGAGTATTTGCTAATACTATAACTAATTATTAATTTTTGTTGATTTAATTTGAGTACATTATTTATGCACAGTGGCCATTATAAAATACCAAAAGGTTTAAAACACAATACACGTGAAATAAAACGCGGTTTAAAAGAATTAAATTACAATTAAAATTATACTACTGACTTATCATAATTATATAAGATGTTTAATTTGACGTCACTATTATGCTCTGTACCAGAAATTTTTTCCAACTCTATTTATTTATATTGATTTATAATTGAGAAAATGTTTCAAAAAAAAAAGAACTTCAAAACAAATTCTGCATATTAAACGTAATAATACGACATGGTCAATTTGCCTTCTCCATCGATATACTTAAATTCATTACAATATCGAAGAATAGCATAGCGTATATGTTGCTATTAAATCGAACTTGTGCAAGATAAATTCCTTTATCTCATTCATATACGTTAACACGGTCATATTAATATCGACTTTGAGATTTATTTTACGAAGCAAGACTTTGAGATTTAATTACGAAGCTATAGTACATTACAATGATACAAAAATTTACGTGTTTTGTACTAAGCTCAACCAACTTCGACCTTCCCCATCAACCGATGTTGGAAATCGAATTTGCACTAATCGTACAGCATTTTTATCTTCTTCCACTTCTTTATATTCCGAGGTAGTCGGTACAACTATCGTTTCCCCGTCCTCAGTTTCGTTATAATTATATACCTCTTCTACTTGCTCCGAATCTTCAGTTTTGCATTCCATTACTTCATTTTCAGCAAAGTTCATCTAAAAATTATAATATTTTAATCTGTTCGATTGTATTACATACACTGTACATTTAATACATTTAACGTGTTCAATGAATCATACTTCAGCATGTACAATTGGGTACGTACTTCTTCATCAACAAGATGATTTACGTCCTCGTCTGCAACATTCTCCTCTGTCGAAATATTTAATACATCTTCTTCGTTATACATTTGATCTTCGTTTTGTTGCTGTATAATAACATGGTCTTTTAATTCTGTCACATACAATTCAGTTTCATCCAACTAGAAAATAATCAGGACATAAAGAAAATTGGTTAGTTTCTGTAACATAAGAGACGAAGAATAAAGAAGCAAAGGAAAAAAGGAGGAACAGACATTTAAGTACCTGATCATTTTCTGTTTCATCAACCAAAAGCTCCACGTTACCATCAGAGATTGTTATAACTTGATCATCTTCTGTAGTAAGTCGCGGCTGATTAACCACAATGGTATCATTTAAATGGCCCTAAAAGAAAAAAAAAACCATCCGTATTTATATTAATAAGTAACAATAATAAATACAGTATCTCGATATCATCTTAATATCATATCAACTCACCTGAGCCTGCATATGAGCATACAATAAAGGTTTCCTCATAAAACCCATACCACATACTAGACATTCATATGGCTTTTTATCGCTGTGTATAAATCGGTGCGCATTTCTATTGTCTCGACTGTTAAATGCTTTGCCACAAACCTGAAATTTTATGATATTGTTCAAAATAAAAACGAGACATTAAATCAACATTAAATAAATGTAATTTTCATTACAAGCACCTCACAGAGATAAGGTTTCTCTCCAGTATGTATACGTATATGTTTTTTGAAATGTTCAGGGTATACAAATGTTGCTGTACATATGTCACATTTATACGGTCTTTCGCCAGTATGAGCTGCTTTTATATGATAGTCTAATAATCTTCGCCGTTTAAATCCCTTTCCGCAATCATCGCATTTGTACCGTTTATCATTATAATGTGTTGCACGCTTGTGAGATTGTAAGTTTGATCGCTGACTAAAAAGTCATAAAAAGTTATGTATAATACATTATCTCTATACTTAGTGCATTTCGATAATAAATGCACAAATAAATATACCTAAATGTAGCCCCGCAAAATTCACACTGATACGGCTTTTCTCCTGTATGCGTTCTTTCATGATCCCTTATTTCCGCTTTACGGGCAAATGCTTTGCCGCACACTCTGCATATGTATGGTTTATAACCTGTATGTACTATATTGTGTACTTCTAAATTGTGCGGCGAACCAAATGCTTTTCCTGTAATTTTATCATTTCCATTCATTTTATTATATTACGCCAAATACCAATTTTAATATTTAATTTTAACATTTTAATATTTTGATACAAAAAACAAAAAAAATAATTTAACAAATCATACCGCACTGGTGACAAACATATTCCTTTACACCATTGTGAGTTCTTTCATGCTGATTAAGATTTTGTTGACTCAAAAATGTTTTGTTGCATTGTGAACATTCGTACGGACGAGGCCGTATTTCATGTGTTTTTACGTGTGCTTTATAAGTATATTTTGAAGCAAAATCTTTGCCACAGTTTTCACATACGTATGGACGTACACCCGTATGCGTATTGATATGTTCCTCCAATAAATTTCTGGAACTACAGAAATAACAAATTGCAATAATATACTATGCGAGTATCATAGAAAAATCACAGTTTACACTTACCTATATCGTTTACCGCAACTTTCACACGGCCAACATTTCACTTGCGGATAATGTATTCTTTTATGAATTCTAAATAATCGCAAATTACTAAATATTCTATTACATATTTCACACTGAAAATCTCCTTCCTCTTTAGCAACATGATCATCAAGATGAACAGATAGTTCGTTTCTTTTTCTAAAGTCATCCCCACATATATCGCAGATATATAAACGTGTTTCGTGCACATCCCTTACATGTGCAATAATAGACTTTGCATCTCCTACAGTTTTATCATCTTCATTTGTACATAACAAACAAGTATATATAGAACCATCTCTAGCTACAATCTGAAAAATAACACATCGTTATTCTGTGTTAATATAAAGCGTCAAACACTATTAGAACATTATCAGTCGTTTCCCACTTGTTCTTGAACAGGTTCAACCTTTGGTGTAATTTTTGCCCTCTTTATCCTTTTTCTTTCTTCGGTATTGCTTGTTTCTGGTATATCTTCGACTTTGAGAATGATTTCTCCCGATTCATCTTCTTCTTCCTCCTCTAACCTCTCTTCTTCACCTTCCATCTCTTGAATTTCTGATTCATCCTTACATAAATTTTCAAATATTACAATATGTTGATACATAAACAATAACATAATTTGTCTTTATTTTAATGTAATTTATTACCTTTTGCACATATCTAATTTCTCCATCTACATCCTGACTTTCTGTATTTTCTATATAATCATGATCATTATACTCTTCTTCATTTTGCAGATCAGATATCTTTTTGATAGTCTTCTTATAGTTATTGAACAACTCTAATTTCACTTCTGTCAATCGACTTTCAAGTTCGTCAATCTATAAATATTAATTAACTTTTAATTATCCTCGTACAATTTCATAAAATTCATTAATTAATATCTCATTTACCTCGTTAAATAATTTAAAGCACTTTTTACATATAACGAGAGAATGTACATTCTCCTCGTTTAAATCGATTTCTAAGACAGTACAAATGACATCTAAAAGTGGTTTTTCCGACGATGTTACAGAGTTTTCATTAAAAATTCGTATACTATTTCTAGTAGATACACCAACTTTACTGTTACATATTAAACAATGGGTACTATCTTTTTCCGAATCAGCTGTCATCTTTTTGGTAACTGTAAAAAACAATACAGATAGTAAAACAGTAGTTTATATTTTGAACAGAATGACAAAACAAATTGAACGATCAGTTAATGCATATATAACCATTTCTTTCTTTCTAATTTGATACAATTATAATATTAACGATTGTTAATATTATATCTAATTTATAACATAAAAAAAAGTAAAAACTACTAAACATAATGTGTTAAAGTATACCGTTGTTCTATATACAGTTAAAAAAGACAGTTGCGGTATTTTGCATTTCGAGGAATTATCTCTAATTTTCATGATCGAGCAGGGGCAGAATATCCATTAAAATAAAATTTTCAGAATCATTTCTTCTTATGTAATAGCACATACACAGCGTGGACGGAGCATTGAGAACAAGAAAGCAACCATCGATATCGTCGTATCGTTGAACAATAACGTATTCGACAATTCATTGTACAAACGAAGGAAGAAGATACAACGCGCTGAAACACGAGCCGAAGAGATTGCTTCCGTGGTTGCTTGGAACGAAGCATTCTGTTCTTGGCTCGGATCGACAAGTAACCGTCAAAATCCAATAACCCTAACAATAACGTGCGAGAAACGGTAAACAAAATATTTGCCTGCGTTCTTCGACAAAATGAAGCCTTATAATAAACGTAAAAAGTTGCCAGCACTGACTTGAAATTTTCGTGTCTCTGTTCGAACGATTGGCAGCGAGTAGAACGGCAAACGGATCTTGATGCCAACGCCATTTAGTTCTTCATGACAGGTAGGGTGTTTGTTGCGGCGAAAGTATTGCGAAAAATACACGCCAAAACGGTTGCCACTTTTTCCAACGTAAACGACGAATTTGATGTCGTCTTCGCGTTAGGTGGAGGTACAACGCTATTGCGTATGCACGCGTCGAATGCCCTCTATCGGATCCTTTCTACGCGTAGTTCAGCCATATTTTATAGTCTCCGACTCAACTCCAAAATGCATTAAATTTGAAAAAACACATTGACAATATTAAAAATTAAAAATATACCGTAAAATAGATAGCTTGCAGTTAGCAAACGTTACATATTGTTACTATACGAACGAAAAGTATATTCCTTTTTTGTATCATTTGTTTTGTACTTTTTATTAAATTTGAATAATACAGTCTCGCTAGAAAAATCTTCATTGATTTCTTTTCTTTATGATGTAAAGCTATATATAAACTGTAAAAACCAATTGTTTGGTAACCAACATTTCTGCCTGTAAATGGAGAACAATCATTTTGTGTAAAAACGTTTCTGCGGACCAATCATAGTACCTTCTTTACAGCTCATCTTTTACTACGTAGATTGACATTCAAAGTAAGATATACTTTATGAGATGTCTTGATTCGATCACCGTTAGCGTTTAAATAGTAGTGCCACATACCATGTCAAATGTATCTATGAACGGAAACCGGTAATCAGTTTGCGATTTGTGACACACACACATTGTCGGTGTACAAAAGTTGTAATTTTTTCGTGGAAAGAACGATCGATGAAAAACAACCAGCAACGTACGCTTGGTTGGAAACACTTGTTTTTATCGTATAATTCCAGTCTAGTTACCTAACCCTTTTATATCATTAATCCGAAATCTTTCGTCTGCTAATTTCACATTCATGATTGTGACAGCTGATTTGAATTGTCGGTTGACAGCAAATAAACAAAAACGTGTGATTTTTGATAAAGTGTTGGAACAGTCTTATGAGATCTAACATCTATGAGATGAACAAAAATGAGTCGACAAGTAGATACGGACCCCTCGTCGGTGCAATCGACGAAGGGACAAGTAGTGCTAGATTTTTGGTATTAAATGCTCGATGATTACTTTTATAATTAATGATTACTTTAATTATTCTAGCATATTTTTGATTTATAATATTTATAATTTACAATGTTTGCGATGAATGAAACAGTACGATAAATTTTTAGAATTTTAATATACATTGAGTTAATACGTCATAATTGTATTGAAAATTATTACGATCACATTGAAAATTCATGTTTTTTCATATTTGCATATTTTGGCAGAAAACTTTAATCGATGTTTTCTAAAAATTTCTTCTATTTTTTTTTTTTTTTTTGTTTTATTAATAATTTATTATTATTCATGCACTATTATTTTAGGTTTTTGCTGCAGATACAGCCGAAGTGTTAACATATCATCAAGTCTCCATATCACAATCATGTCCAAAAGAAGGATGGGTCGAACAAGATCCTATAGAAATATTACAAGCAGTTAGAGAATGTATTAATCAGACTGTGTTTAATTTAAGACAGCTTACCATAGACCCTAGTGATATAATTGCAATTGGCATAACAAACCAAAGAGAGACTACAGTTGTATGGGACTCTATTACTGGAGAACCATTATATAATGCCATAGGTAATCATTAATACAAGACTTTTTTTAAATAAGTTTTTTGTTATCTTTATCATGTATTAATAAAAATAAATTTACTGTTTTACAGTATGGATGGATATGAGAACCACTTCGATTGTAGATGACATATTGAAAAAAATACGTAATCAGAATAAAAACTATTTAAGACCACTTTGTGGCTTACCGATTAGTCCATATTTCAGTGCTCTAAAGTTAAAATGGTTGCTGGAGAATGTACCTCGTGTTCGTAAGGCTCTGGATCAGCAGCGTTGTATGTTTGGCACAATCGATTCTTGGTTAATTTGGGTCAGCTTAATAGTGATTATTTATTGAAACTTTTATATTATTGAAATTTTTATGTTAAAACTAGAAACGTACTACTTGTAGAACTTAACTGGAGGAATAAGTTTTGGTGTTCACGCCACTGATGTTACAAATGCTTCGAGAACAATGCTAATGAATATAACAACTTTAAAATGGGATCCGACATTGTTGTCATTTTTTAATATACCTCCAGAAATTTTACCCGAGATCCGTAGTTCGTCAGAGATATATGGATATATACAAGATGATGTTTTATCCGGAGTACCAATATCAGGGGTGAATATTTCCTGTACTACATTTGTAATTGTCGATGAATATTTACAAAAAATTTATTACTTATACTTATTATCTATTACTCATACTTGTTTACAGTGTTTGGGTGATCAACAGTCAGCATTGGTAGGTCAAATGTGTTTACAAAAGGGACAAGCAAAAAGCACTTACGGTACAGGCTGTTTTCTTTTATATAATACTGGAACTGCTGTAAGATAAACTTACATTTTTTTTCCAAATATTCTCCATAGTCCTAGATACTGACAAATAATTCTGAAGCTTGTAGATTCGACTCATGGTTTATTGACAACTGTCGCTTACCAATTAGGACCACAAACAGCACCAGTGTATGCCCTTGAGGGTTCTGTAGCTGTAGCTGGTGCTGTTATTCAATGGTTGAAAGATAATCTTGGAATACTGTCTGATGCAAAAGAGTCTGAATCTCTCATTGAACAAATTTCTACTGATAGTCGTGTTGCATTCGTGCCTGCGTTTTCTGGATTATACGCTCCATATTGGAGGAAAGATGCAAGAGGGTAAATAATATAATGACACAACATCACAATTATTCGCCAATATAAAATTATTAGAACTGTTAATTAATTTTACTGTCACATATCTCTTGCAAAGTATTTAATATTTCAGTGTTATATGTGGAATTACTGAAGACACTAACAGTACACATATTATAAAGGCAGCTTTGCAAGCTGTTTGTTTTCAGACAAGAGACATTTTGGAAGCCATGAAACAGGACACGGGTTTAATTTTATCTAAATTGTTAGTAGATGGCGCTATGACTACCAATAATCTGTTAATGCAAATGCAAGCGGACATTTGTGGAGTTCCAGTTGGTAAGTAAGAATTTTTTTTTTTTTACTTTTTTTCACAAAGAAAGTACTTAAAACAGAAAGGAACAAAATGTACGAATGTATAAAAAATATCTAATTGATTAAAAAATTTTACAAGAAAGTGAGGCCTTTAATGTGTGAAACTACTGCACTTGGAGTTGCAATTGCTGCGGGAAATGCAGACGGTATACGTAAATGGGATGTGAAAACAGACGGTGCTGTACCAAGTGACATCTTTCTACCTTCGATAACTGAGAATGGTATGTTTCGAATTATTTCTAATAAAACATTTTTTTTTATTAGAAGTCGTTAAAGAATCGCTAAAGATAATCATATTTCATTTAGAACGAGATATACTATATTCACAATGGAAAATGGCTATCAATCGTAGCTTAGATTGGGAACCAATAACTGATACTAACGGTATGTTTTCGTCTTATTGTTAGTTGTAAAATTTGGTTTCGTTAATTTATTTGGATCATTATATCATTTTACAGGCGATACAAAAACCATCCACAAAGCAATTGCTCCTGGTATTTTTGTGATCAGTACAATACTTTTGCTTATGATTGCCGAGTATCATTCCATGTTATGACTGAAAGCGTGCAGTACTATGTACTGTATTTGCCTCAGTTTACGCATTTGGGCAGGTCCTGTTTGCTAACAAATACTTAGACTATTATTTAATATTAGCTATATTTGTCATTAAACTTTGTAAAAGTAACATTATAAGTACGAAGAATGAACTAAAAAACATATGCAAATAAAAGTGCCATAATACTGTGATAATTTCAGTGTCAAATGAAATACGAAAAATTAAGAAAATATTGTTAAGAGATTTATTTTCAAATTTATTTCAAATTTCGGCGGTATCGATTGTTATTTTCATCTGAAATGTTCAAATCAGACGACCGAACATCAATAATTTCCACTCCAATATCAGTTGAATGTTTTTTTGTGCCTTTGAACGTTACACTGGAACGTTCCAACGCTGTCTTTCTAACATTTCGTACTACAGATATATCCTTTAAAATTATATAAAGTATATTATTAACCATTAACATGACATGCGAAAGAATTTCAATTACCTTTAAAATATCAGTGGTAGAAGTCTGAGCTTCAATAAGAGACATAGAAAGCCAAACATCATTTCTTATATGATCAATATCCAATCGTATCCGTTGCGGTACAAGTATTCGTGAAATAAGTGAACGACAAGCTCGAGACACGTTTGGTTCTTTAGGAAATATAACTTTGTTTTGCACTTGCTACATCGTAAAAGAATGAGATTAAATTACGTGGTAGAATTATTACTTAAACGAATAAAATTTTTAATTGAACTAGACTCTATTACTTTCTTTTTTAATGTACCTGGGTACCTTTAGAAGTTGACTGTAATTTGTATCGTCAAAAGGTAGTCGACCACAAACCATTGCATAAAGTACTACACCCATGGACCATATATCAGACAGTTGAGGTAAATATGCAACACCTTTCAATATTTCTGGCGACGCATAAGCATAACTACCGCAAAAAGTTTCACTCAACGGAGCTATACCGTTTTTCGGTTTCATTTGCCCACGTGCGAATCCAAAATCGGATAATTTGATATTTAAATTCCGATCCATCAAAAGATTTTCGCATTTGATGTCTCTTAAATAAAATGATGCAATTAAACACGATACGTGACACTCAATATTTTTTTCTTTTTTTGTTAAATTTATTTTTTACCTGTGTACCACACCACGTTCATGACAATAGGCGATAGCGTCTAATAATTGTCGAAACCATCGGCGACTACGAAATTCATCAATAAAGGTATGGCGCCTTATCATATCTAACAAACTACCGCATTGAGCATATTCCATAATTATGTAAACGCTAAATGTTAAATGTATTTATATTAATTAAATCGATGTAATTAGTGAAAAGATACGAGGTAGAATTATCTCTGTAAATGATATAATAAATTGACTAACCGATGGGTTGTTTCGATTGCTTGGAGAAAACGAATTAGATTTGGATGTTTTAAACCTTTAACAACTTCTATTTCGCGAGGCAAAAATTTTTTTAAATAATCACCAGGTGCTTGAAACTTTGAAACAATTTTTACTGCTACTTGACAATCGTGCCGATCAGATTTGGCAATCTTCCGTTACAATTTTTTTTTTTTTATCAATAATTATCTAATATCTAATATTGATTTTTTTAATGTTAATAAATGGTTTATATAACATACTTTTACAGTGGCATATGAACCAGCACCTATTGTTTTACCAATAGTGTACCCATGTGATTCAAGAATGGTTAACTTCTTTCCTGATTTTTCGTCATTTTTATCATCCGGGGTTTTTAACAAGGCTTTCGGAGTATTGGAGTATTTATCTGTCATTGATGCAGTTGCCATGTTATATGTAAACAATATTATTGCAACTATATTTTTGATTCAAATAATCACGACGAATGCATTGTTATATTATTTTTAGTTACTGCTCGTAAGTTTCAATACGTACAACGATGTCATTTTATTCGTTGAATTACATATTTTAATAGATTTTTCAAGGAAAAATGATATTTCATAGCTTGTCAATTTGAATATTAGTTGATTGAAATTTGGCGCGATGCTCTATAACAAACATTTGAAATACGATTAGTTAGTGACATTACGATAACTTTATAAGAAATATAGCAAAATAACGTTGTTCATAATTAACGAGATTGATGAGTTTCATTAAAAGTAGCTTTGAAAAATTATATATATACACACACACACACACACGCGCGCGCGCGCGCGCGCATATGTAAATAATTGTAAAATATGTATAAAATTTTTTTATTTTGCTTTATCAGTAACTCTATGTCTTATATATTCAAACTGTTTAAGAAACATTACTTTCTAAATGGTAGAAATAAAGTATATATCTAAATATATAACGTATGTATACGTACATCTAAATACACTTGTATATAACGTACATTTAAATACACTCAATGACTATTAACTATTGCGTCCATTGAGTACTGTGCAGAGATTAAAAGAAGGTACTTGAAAGAAAGGGATCTGATTGATTGTTTAAATTCAATAAAATTTTAAATATAGGGACATTTATTGGCCGAAAGTATCATATGTTGAACAAACCTGTATAGTATAGCATGACGGTGAGTGAGAGAGGGGGGACTATTTCCTTTACTTCTGAATCTCGGATCGCTAGATACTTTCTTTCCATCTTTGCATTATTACTTATCTACATGATCGTAAATACTACGTGATCGTCAAAAGTAGTTGTGTTAATTATTATTATTATTATTATTATCGTTGCAAGGAAACTGGTTAGGTAGTAATTCAATTATGGCAGATGTGCTGGATATTGACAATGCAGAAGAATTCGAAGTTGACGATGAAGGCGATCGTAAGTTTAGTCAATAAGTTTGTGGTTATACAAAGGCGTCGTTTGTTATAACCTTTCTAATCCGTGATTTCATTTAATTGAAAAATCATTTTGATTGAAATATATAAAATATATTTTTATAGCAATAAATAATAATTTTTGATAATATTTCAATGTTTACTTTTTTTAGAGGGTATTGCACGTTTAAAAGAAAAGGCAAAAAGAAGAAAAGGTAGAGGACACGGTGCGGAATTGGTGTCTACGCGTGACGATGTTGGTCATTACGAATCAATGAACGTTATCGAGGAAGATGACGATGAACCAGGTCCTCAAAGATGTAAGAAAGCATTTTAGATACTTTATATTCAATGAAACAAATAATTTACTAATAATAGTTATATAACTTACTAACAATAAAGAATTTAATATAATATAATAAAATATAGTAAAAATAAAATCTATTAAATATTTAATTTCGAGACATTTATAAGGAATTTATTACAGCTGTAGAAGGATGGATTTTATTTATAAATTCGGTACACGAAGAAGCTCAAGAAGATGACATTCAAGATAAATTTTCAGAATTTGGGCAAATAAAAAATTTACATTTGAATTTGGATAGAAGAACAGGTTTTCTGAAAGGATACGCTCTGGTAGAATATGAAACATTCAAAGAAGCTCAAGCAGCAAAAGATGCTTTAAATGGAACAGAAATCTTAGGGCAACCAATTTCGGTTGATTGGTGTTTTGTTAAAGGACCAAAGAAGTAAGTAACTCAACTAAAAATGTATTAAATTCTTTGAATTTTACTAAAAAATTAGCTTTCTTCCTTTTCGTAGAATTAAGAAGAGGAGTCACAGAAGACGATGAAAGGGAAAATTATTCAAGAAAACTTTCAATTTTTTTCTGTATGAATATTTTGAATAAAAAAAAATTATTTTGTACTTGACAGATATTGTAAAAACAAAAAATATTGCAAATATAGTGAAAAAGTTAATTTATTGTAGAATTTCCATTCATTTATAATTATTTGAAATTATATATTAAAAATAATATATTGAGAACAATGCAATTCAAGCTTGTAAAAATAGAAGGTAATATAATCGAAGCATATATTATAAATATATCAATAACTAAAATTTAGTATTTTACATAAATTTCAGAGACTAAAATGATATAATCTCTAAAATAGTAAATGTGCGTTTCTAAATTCACGTTGAAAGTTTAATAAAATAAATTTTAACATGCTCGTGTTGCTATTTATTTTACAAACGAGATCATCTTATTGAAATTTAGTTCCGTTTACAATTATTACAGTTCTTATCGTCATTTATCATAGAATGTATCTTAATAAATAAATCTTTGAATAAAGCAGATTAAGCATAATAGTTGAGATTAGCCTTCTTCTTTGCCTGAACTTCATTAATAGCTTCCATTAGATCTTCGTGTGTAACTGCTGTTGCGTTGCGTCTTAACGCTATCATACCCTACAAAAAACAGAAAAAAAACAAATCGATTAATTTCTCAATTTTATTATTTTATTATTACTACTTTGAAATATCATGATACTACATACCGCTTCCACACAAACAGCTTTACACTGGGCACCATTGAAATCGTCGGTTGATCTTGACAATTCTTCGAAATTAACATCCGGAGACATGTTCATTTTTCGCGAATGAATTTGCATAATACGAGCTCTAGCCTCTTCGTTTGGATGCGGAAATTCTATTTTTCTGTCCAAACGACCAGATCTGAGTAAAGCTGGATCTAAAATATCTACCCTGTTTGTAGCTGCTATTACTTTAATATCCGCGGTAGAACTAAATCCATCCAATTGATTCAATAATTCCAACATAGTACGTTGTACTTCTCTGTCACCAGCTTTCTCAGAATCGAATCGTTTTGTTCCAATTGCGTCCAATTCATCTATGAAAATAATTGCAGGTGCCTTCTCTTTCGCAAGAGAAAATGCATCTCTTACTAATTTTGCGCCATCTCCGATAAACATCTGAACTAGTTGAGGCCCAGCTAATTTCAAGAAAGTAGATTTCGTTTGCGCAGCGCAGGCTCTAGCTAACAATGTTTTACCAGTTCCTGGTGGTCCATACAGCAATACACCTTTGGGAGGTTGAATACCAAGATTTTCAAATTTCTCCTTGTGCGTCATAGGTAAAACAACAGCTTCTATCAATTCTTGAATTTGTTTATCCAAGCCACCGATATCTGAATATTGCTCCGTAGGTCTTTCATCCACTTCCATAGCCTTTACTCTTGCATCATACTCAGCAGGCAATGTTTCAAGAACAAGATAGCTGTCTTTATTGACACCAACTAAATCGCCAGGTTTTAGAGCTTCAGCATCAACCAATCCAATTACAGGTAGAAAATATGTTTGACGAGTGGAGGTTTTAATAACTGCACATTTGCCTTTCCTTTGTGCATCTAAATCGACAACTGCTCCATCTTCTTCTCCCATATTTTGAGGATCCACGTCTAATAACTCTATAACATTAGATACTAAATATGGCAGAGTTTTATTTACTTTAATTTTTTCTGTATTCTCTTTAATTTTGTCATTTTGTGCCTGAAGTTCATGAGAAATACGCATTACTTCGCTTTTCATAATTTTTATTTCATTATCTAATAAACGTGTACGCGATACAATTTCATCTGTAGACATTCTCCAAACATCTTCACCCAAGGCTTCCTAGAAGAACAGTTATAAAAATTAATTTTTTCTTTTTTCTTGTCGTATACAGTTGGCTTAATTTTTGTATATATGTATGTATGTATGTATGTATGTATGTATGTATGTATGTATGTATATATATATATATATAGAGAGAGAGAGAGATCTATATACTAATAAGTTTATAGAAATAAATAAATAAATAAAACAGATATAAAATAAAAAATAAGAGTAATTTTTGTAAACGCGTAAGAATGTAACGTATTTTTTTCTTCATTGTTTCAGAAATATTTTAATAACGTAACGAAATTTAATTTATGTACATAAATAAATTACATTCACTTAAATAAGTAAGAATTACATTATATTAAAAGTAAATCATTCTGCACGACCATTTAGATGTGCTTGTCATTCCATCATAACCTATATGAATTTGCGATCCATACCTCTCCATCTTCCCAAAGAGACTTATCCTCAAGAGTGGCCATTTATTTAAAAGAAATCGTTGCTTATAAAATATTAAAAGCTCAAAATCTTCAGGAAATTGATACGTTTCACAAAGTTTACTTAGTTATGAACTTCACTAATTTTTCCCACTAGATTAGTAATCTAGTATCTATACGAGTACCGAAGTACCCTAAAATTTCTCACTATATTTTCTTAATTCATATGTAAATTGTTTTAGGGACATCTCTATCACTTTGAAGAAAAAGGAAAAGTGAGAAATATATACTTGTACAGAGTGAAATATAAATATTTATCATTTCGTAATATTGAATAAAAATATGTTGCAAGAAAAATTTAGTGAATTAATAAATAATTGAATATATGATAGAATCTAAGATTTCTTTCCATATGGCATTTGACCAATGAAATGTATGTATTTACATCGTATAAAAATTTTGCAAATTTTATTTTATAGATCGTACGACCTTATGTTCGAAATTAAAAAAAACGTATTATCATATATAATTTATATTCTACGCGTATGTTTCACAAATCTGATGTTCTCAAACATATCTATAATCAATTTTTCATTCATACTTTTTCCATTTATAGTTTAATTTATGAGAAGTTGAATTATTACTCCAAAAAAATGCTTCGATCTGTCGAGTAAAATTTCTTGATCTTCATTTCTGAATTCTCTGTGAATGATATAGAAAGAAAGCAAAAAATCTAATTTAGCAGTGATAATTATAAAAATTTACAAATCTGTCTTTTAAAGTAGATATTTTTGCAAATGAAATTTACTCGATTCATGGATATTATAAACTACCAGCGTTGCATTATTGTAGTTAAACAATAATTGAACCTAGCACTTCATGATCAAACGTAAAAGTTTATAAATTAATATTCTGTATTATTTTCTTTCGTAAATGAAAATTGGGATAATTTAAACACTAGCGCCAATCATTTGGACCTCGGATGAGACGGTCATGCTAACGCTGTTGCTGTCCCTGTTGCGCAATAAATAAACATACGTACATTACCAAAACGAATCTGATAATTATATTTTATAAAGTACAAACATGTAAAAGATGAAAAAGTATCACGCAATTGAAACTTTTGAGACGACCATGCACCTTACACTCTCAGACACCAAAGTGACGCTTCGTGACCGCCGAAAGCTGTTTACTGATTGGTCGAGGCTTCTTGCAAACTTATGCGCGCGAAAATTGAAATTCTGTTTGGTATGAATTTTTCAAATTAAATAGTTGTATCAATTGTATCAAAAAGGAATAAAGAAGAAACAGAAGGAACATCAATTTTTCATAATACCGGAAAGTTTCAGAATGTGTGATATGAAATTTTAGAAACTGACAGGTTTATGTATAAGTTTTATAAAACTCCCACCAACAGAGGCCCCGACAAAATCCCCTGAAAATTCAGTGGACAATATGCTATTCACATTGAACGTATGAAATGTATGAAATAAATGAATATTACTTGTAATTTATATTTCAAAGGAAACTGAATGATGCACGTTACTTGAAATATTAAAGGAATTATTTATTATTATTACGAAAATGTCGGACTCATTGACGAACGATTTAAATTTGTACAGTTTTGCTGAATATATATATATAAAGTTCTACATATAGTTCTTTTTATTAAATGTTACTTCAAATATATTCTACAAGTTCTAACTCACTAACGCTTAATCTCACTAACTCTTGGAAAGTAAATTCCTATGTACAAGTGCTAAATATAACTTTTCGATTAAAGAACTCCTCGAATGTCAAATTATGTAGATTCCAAAGTTTAGCTATGGATTAAATAATATTACAGCAAATATATATTATATGTATGTATTCGTTTAATATCAAAATAGCGTAGTCATTTGTAATATCATAAAGAATGTATTTTATACAAGATAACGTAATGCTATGCAACGTTATATGAATCTTAACTGCAAAGTCTTTTTAATTTAGTTTTGGACTAGTAATTAAAATTGTTACTGTTAGAATTTTATATTTATTGTATTTACATTTGATTATAGCCAAGTCTTAGTTATCTGCTGTCAATATCCTATAGAATGGTAATGTATTTACCTTCTTTTTTAAAATAATGATTTTGTTGATTTAAGGTGCAAAGGTTACACGATCATGATGTATAGAATAATACCAACTATCATAATACGAGTGTAAATATTATAAATGTTTATGTATATTTCTATGTATACGTCGTTGTTGTTAAAGCAAACGTGAAAAGTACTACTTTGTTATTGGAATGTTACAGGGTTGTTACGTGCTTTCCTTATTAATTTTATATGATGTTTCAAATACAAATCGCTATGCTTTCTTGTATACATCCACGTATTAGTTGGGTCCACAAAGTTGTATCCTATTAAAATATACTCCTTTCTTCTTTTCACATTTGTTTCTAGTATATGTTACATCCTTATCCTTGGTTCAAATAGTATTTGATATGTGCGATTCACTTCTCTTCTTCCGTATTGGAAACTTACTAGGAAAAAATGTGCCTGTGAATAGTGTCTCCCTCATACGGGAATTATATCGTCACGTCAAATTATTTTCTGGCGGGATATTTGAAAATATTATTATATTATTTGAAATTATTATTTAATTTATCAAGATACACAAACATTTATACGCAATATTGTATTGTAAAATAAAATATTCCTGCAAAATGAAAAAAAGAGAAAATCTTCCAGTCGATAACGAAGAATAAATGTTCCCTGCCGGTAACGTGAAAAAAAGAAAAAATAAAGTAAAAAAAGATTAACACGAAGACAAATAAGGCGAAACAAACGCAATGCAAAAAAATGACTGAAAATAAAAAAAGAAAAAATATCTTTCAGTCGATAACGAAAAATCAATGTTCCCGGTCGGTAACGCAAAAAATTCTTTTTTCTAGAAAATTACTAACAATAAAAAAACAATATTTCGCTGGTGTTAAGATATATTCATAAATAAAAG